GTTGGGTACTCTACAGGGTAGAAGAAAGAAATAAATGCATAAGGAAGTCAAGAGCTGGGGTGTGCTGGATTTGACAAGAGCCATTCTGTTGTTTAAGTTTTGTACTGTTGTGTTTTTGTAATAAGTGTTTGGATCCAAGATGGTCTTAAAAATAACTTTGTAAATGACATGTGACTGGCGGGAGATATAAGTAGCATAGCATTTGATATGAAGGGATTCTCAATGTATCATAGTTGCTTGCATCATAGGAACTTGTAAAAAATATCATGAAGTCTATGCCATTTCAAAGGATAGTGAGTAAGTGTCACGGCACAGTGTTTCAGCTGAGACAGTTTTCAATTAAATAACAATATTGAACGCTGCCCCTGATTATTAAAATGCTAGAGGAGACGTGTGTCTAGCTGTGTGTACAAACCAGGTTTTTAAATGAAAATGGATACGCAAAACGTGCATGCATAGCATAGCATCTGACAGCTTTAATGTTCCTAATCATTTCATAACGAGTCAATTCTCAGGCCTCTGAAGAAGCATTATACTTGTCTCCAGCCTGAAGGACTGCTCACCCTTTGCGTTGCCAGTCACTTTATAACTTAGTTCCTGTGCTAGCATTCTTCATCTCCAACATGTTTGTGACTCCTTTATTCTAGTTGAGTCCCTTGGGAAGACATTTTCCTGTTCTGAAGGGTATCAGTTGCAATGCGAGTGGTGTGTGTGTTCTGGAAAGTCAAGTGAAAACATCTCAGATTGAATGCTTGAACAGTAAGCTTTTCTTTGTTTCAGATCGCAGTAATATACATAAAGGTCACAACTCCCTGATTAAGAAACCTTGTGCAGTGCCCAGTTTATATAATGCTAACCTAACTTGCGGGTTAAAATACAATTCCAGCTTTTATATGTGCGTATCATGTGTCCAATGTGTACTTTGGTTTGACCTTACAAGTGTAGCACTGTTGTCATGCTCTGAATAAGCATGAAAGTGAATCTGCTATGTGCACAGGACTGACAAATTGTGTGTGAACTAAATTTGTTTCCTGTATGAAAAGCTATGGCATTAGTCTTTGAAGGTGAATGAGTTACTTTTGCAACCATGACATATGATAGCAATCTCTTACATCAGCCACGCCGTGTGCCATTGTGATTCAGATAAGAAGAACATAGCAGACTGTTAAATATGTTTCATGCTTCCTGTTCCAGATGAAGATCTAGCAAGAAAAGTGTATGTGACTAACAGCTTTAGAGCGTAAGTTGTGTATATATGAGTTATTCCTGAATCGTTGCAACTGGTTTTGTCGTACATTGGTTGAAGTATGAAGATACTATCTACAGAAAGAGTCCTACTAGAGGAAACCATGGTACAGGGGAAAGAGAATCATCCAGGAGAAATATCCCTCGTTTTTGGGAGGGGGAAGGGAGAGAATTTTATTTTGTGTATACAGAAACTGGCTTAGTTTACATGATGCAGCTAATGGTTAAACCTGCCAACTAAATATGACATACTGTTACAAATGAAACAAACTTATGTGATATTTTGTTAAATCTTGATGGTGCCCTGTGTCTAGTAAAAATTTGATCCCCCAGATTGTTTTATTCTCCCCCATATTGTAATCCAGGGTCAGCTGCTATGCACAAAGTCTGTGTTTTGTAAAGTGTTTGCTGACTTGGATGTTTCTTTTGAATCTGCAACTGCTTCCTGATTAATTTGGCTAAGACCAAGCCTGGTCTCTTGAGTTAAGATTTAGTTAAAGGTATATGCTGTATGCAGTTTACAGGTGCATTCTCAATGTTACAAGTTAAGTTGCAGGGGGAGCAAATTCTTTACAATAAGATGGTCCATTTTAAATCTATCATTGCCCTTGTACATCAGGAGCATGTTTTTGTTTTTCTCAAACTCTTTAGAAATACTGTTCAGAATAAACATGCACTATTTGAGTTACGTCATTTATGAGTTGTCATGTGCATTTTTTTTGCAGTCCAGGTGTTTCTGTCTGAAATCAGATACAGAATATTCCTCAGATGTTTCATAAACTGTGTAACTCTGAAGATTTCTAACATGCACTGGGAGTGGGGTTCCTGTGACGAATGCCATGGGTGTCTTGACAACTGAGGAGAGTGGGGTGTGTTTGTCTTCCCTGAATTTATGAGCCTTTTCTCAGAAATCATCTGGTTTGGGGGGTATGGGGGGGAGGAGAGGAAGAGTAACTGTCCTGGAATATTTTTGCGTTGTCTAGTGAGCAGTCTTGGAAAAGACCAGGCACCAAGAACTGTTTTGGGCTTTGCAGGTTAAATATTTTAAAGTATTCAAATTAATTGCTAGCTATTGCAAATCTTGATGACCATCTTTGAAAAACTGTGGTCTGTACCTGTAAAAGTAACTGAGTACTCTTCCATACTGACTTTTCTCAGAAAGGTATTGGAAGTAAAACTCATCTCTCTTCTTAACTATTACAGTCTCTTCTGTTAAAGCCATTTTTGATCTGTAGTTGCTTTCTGCTTGTTTCCTGCTTTGAAGTGCCATTTATGAAGTGATAAAGCTGCACTGTGGTACAGTTTCTGGAGACAAAGAAATGTTACCCTAAATATTCTATATATTATTCTATTTCCTCATTTGAGTTCTGGAAAATGCTTTATCAGGGGATGGAGTTGCTGCTTTTCATTAGGATAGCATGTGAAAGCAAAGCTCAGACTGTCAAATTTGCCTGTGGTCATGAGCTACCACTACCAGCTGCCTTCCCTGACCTCTGCTGGAGGGGCCTGGAAGGCACAGCTGGAGAGACACTACTACCACAAGTTGCCACTTCATCACTCTGGCCTCACCAGCAGCTGCAGAAGCTGGAAAACTTCAGCTATGCTTAAACTGCTGTAGCTGTTCTTCAAACCATGCAGCTTTGTTCTGTCATGTTTCTTCCCTTCTCCACTCATCCCAGTCACACCTCTAACAGCATGTCCAGTTTAGGTAATTCCATTACTCGTTTATAGGGAAACTAGCACATACTCCTGATCATTCAAGTGACATTTTCACAAAGCTTTGCTGGCTCTACTAGTATCTTAAGGCAGGCAGTTCCATTCCCCTCACTGTATTCAAAAATTGGTTATTTATGGGGTTTATGTAATAACTTATGGTGTACTATTATTTTAATGATAATAGTTTGCTTTTTTGTTACTGAGATGATTATTTAAAGAACAGTTCAATGCCAGGATCTAATAAGCGAATGGTAAGTTAAGTCATTGACTTCACACAAAAAACTGGGATTGTAGGGTTTTTTTTCCCCAAGTGTGTACATCACCCTATTTACCTGTGCTGGCTATAATAAACTGGTACAGTGCTCAGTCACTCAACATCAGAAAGTTCACCTGTTGTTCCTCATTTTGACTAACCTCCAGCAAATTTTTACCTTGCTACTTCCTTTTTAAAAAATCTGTTGAGTATAGACCCCAACACAAATCTTCAACTCCACTGTTGGACCTCCCACTAGTGTGAAAACTGATCTTTTATTCCATGCCCTGTGATTTCTGTCTTTTAATCAGTTCTCTGTCCTTATGAGGATACTGTCTCTGAACCAGTAGCAGCCTAGATTACTTTTGGACAGGGATCTTTTATTTGAAGTCCTTTTGAATCTCTACCAGTCTGTGAGCTGAGTATTGTAACCTGTTCCTGGCAATACTTTTTCCCCTGTAGGGGTTCTCCAGATCTAGTCAACCCATCTAGTCGAGATACTTTGTATGGGATGTGATTATTGCTCAGTGTTGCTGTTGTGCTTTTCTCTTGCCCATGCCAAGAGGCATCAGTCAAACTAGATGATGGAGAGGTCACCTTTTCTGTATCTTTTTATCCTGCCTTTGTTCCTTCCCCCTGCCAAGTCTTTCAGTACTGTAAAAGCATTGTTTTACTACCATTTTGCCTAAAGGCTTTGTGGCCACACCAGCTCAAGCTCTTTGGGCTGCTAAGAGTTGCCAGCTTTCTCTTTCACTCACTTGCATGGTATATGGCTCCTAGTCCAAGAAACAATGCTTAGGGATCTGGTGGAGTTGAGAGTAGTCAGTGTGAGGTTAATGGTTGGACTGGATGATCTTCAAGGTCTTTTTCCAACCTTAATGAATCTGTGATTCTGAAACTCCTGCACCTGGGGAGAAATGTGCTGGCCTGTCTTCTGATCACCTTTCTGTCAGCTGCTATCACACTTAGGCCATTACTGTTCGCTAAATTATTGAATCCAAACCTGCACTACAGCCAAGTATTATACCTTCATGCAGAAAAAAAAAAAGCACTCAAGTTGTTCTTGGTATAAAGTTGCAGAAACTCTTCCTTTTTACCTGTCACACTAACAGGAAATCAATGTCCGTGTAAAGCTTTTCCAAATATTTGTGCAAAAGCTGTTAAGTTTTGTTTTTTCCAAGCTATCTTGCCATATAATTGCTAGTCCATATTCACTACCAGAAACAGGCTACTGATACTCAACAATTTCCTGTTATATATGATTTCACCGGTGCATTTTTTGTCTGCTGCTGGATTTTTGCTACAGTATTTCCAGTATTTAACACTGTATGGGTAATCCGAAGGTTTATGAGCTCAAAGACTCCAGAGCACAGTAGGGTGGCAGAAGGTAAACTTGGCTTTGCTGGTTTGGACAGAAGGTGCCTTTTTAGAGAAAAATCTTCACTGAAAAAGCAGACTTCCTTTTAAAAGAAAAAGTAACTCAGTGACAGAGCACAGGTATTTCAGATTTCATTTTTCCTCCAGTTTGGTTGTGTCATGTCAGAACTAAAAACCATGAAAACTGGAAAAGTGCATTTACATTCATTCTTTATGTTGCGAAGTTGCTCTTTACAGTAACTAT